GTAAGTACTTATATATGTGACAAATTTTTCCCTGAAATTCATATCCAGTGTTTTTGACGTACCATAGATGTCAAATTAAAACTTTCCATGGATACATTTCTCATCCGTTCTTCTAGTAGTTCTTTACATTACGATTTTGGTATAAATTTTGTGCATCGTATTGTAAATTTTGCATTGAACTTTTCCTTTAATTAATGTACTTTTGTTTGATAACATAACCTCAATCACGTATTTTCCATACTCGGTTTATCGAACGTTCGCATTTGTCATTCCTTTTTCTTCCTCTTCGCAATTTCACATTTTTAGTAATGATTGGCATATTAGGATAACGGTTAGGTTTTTTTTAGTTGCAGTATAACAAATTTCCAAGATGTCGACGTCTGCGATATATATTTTAGACGTGAAGGGGAAGGTTTTGATTTCACGAAATTATCGTGGAGACATAGAAACGGGTGTTATAGAAAAGTTCATGCCTCTCGTAATGGAACGCGAGGAGGAGGGCAATCTTACTCCGATCATACAAACCACAGAATGCACATATGCATATATAAAGTACAATAATTTGTATATCGTATCCACTACAAAGAAGAATGCAAACATTTCCTTAGTATTTGTATTCTTGCATAAACTGGTGCAAGTGATGCAAGAATATTTCAAGGAATTGGAAGAAGAAAGCATACGAGATAATTTTGTAGTCATTTACGAGCTTCTAGATGAATTAATAGATTTTGGGTATCCGCAAACTACCGATAGTAAGATATTACAAGAGTACATTACGCAGGAAGGACATAAACTTGAAATTCAACCGCGCATTCCCATGGCTGTGACTAATGCTGTATCCTGGAGATCAGAAGGTATAAAATACCGTAAAAATGAAGTGTTTCTAGACGTGATAGAGTCTGTGAATCTTCTTGCAAATGCTAATGGAAATGTTTTAAGTTCTGAAATTGTGGGTGCAATAAAGATGAGAGTTTATTTGTCTGGAATGCCAGAATTAAGACTCGGTCTTAACGACAAAGTATTATTCGAATCTACAGGCCGTGGGAAGTCCAAATCTGTGGAATTGGAAGATGTGAAATTCCATCAGTGTGTCAGATTGTCTAGATTCGAGAACGACAGAACAATTTCATTCATTCCTCCCGATGGAGAGTTTGAATTAATGTCTTACAGACTGAATACACACGTAAAACCTCTGATATGGATCGAATCTGTCATTGAGAGGCATGCCCACAGCAGGGTAGAATACATGGTAAAAGCGAGATCGCAATTTAAGAGACGTTCTACGGCCAACAATGTAGAAATAGTAATCCCAGTACCCAACGATGCAGACTC